GTTGGAAGCATCCCAGAGCATTATTACTCGGCAGAAGTAAAAACATGAGGCAGCCATGCAAAGTTTTTGGATTTTAAACACACTAAGGAGCAACAGTCCAAGTGTCATTAATCTCAGAAGTCAGAAAAGCTTTTGTTTAACCGTCTTCCTCACTAAAGGCTACCTTTTCCCTCTGTTTTAGTGTACTGTGGAAGATGATGAGGGTTAAAGTGATATTCTTGGTAATATTTATCTCCAAATGATGCTATCTTTCATTTATGCAAGTCCTTGAGAACGGTGATGAAACAGGCCATGAAAAACCTAGGCTTACGGACATGAGCTCTTCCATCAGGCAATACTACAGGTAAACAATGGGCAGGAAGAAGAGGCCTCTCTCTACTGTTCTGTTAATGCTCTTCTAGGCTCTTCTAGCTAAACATATAAAAGAAAAAGATGCAGAGAAATGCCTGGCACAGAATTGGAACTAGCACTCTAGTGCTTGAGATGTTGACAGCATTCAGGCTGATTAATTAATATCAGTAAAGCCCACTGAAAAAGGTTAAAAGAGCACTTTAACATGCAGTGATATTATCATGATCATTAGGATGGCATATTTCTGTCTTTGCTAATGTATCTTCTTTTATCAGCTCAATAAACTGATGTAGGAGTGCAGTTTTTCAATTACATTTTCATAAACAGATGGCAGAATTTAACAAATTAATGTTTAGAATAATGGTACAGTTATGAGGCTTGTACTTTTACATTGTTTTGCTCTGAAGCTTTTGATACCAAATCCCAATAATGCCAATCTTCTTAGTTCAGAGTAGCTTCATACTCCTAGGTTGCTGCAGAGTGATCTCTGATGTAACTGTTTCAGTGTGAAGAGATATGGGTGACAGTAGATAGTAGGCTGAATTTGTTAAATAATAGGGATATTAATCTGTTTGTCAAATTTCATAGACATTTTAACAAAAGCTTAACCTCCCTGATGGTCACCCTTTTGAGATAAAACACATTGTTGCGGGGCAGAAAAGATACTTAAGTGCTATTGCAGAACGCATCTTTTGTTCCTAAATTTTATTCCAAACAAGGGCTAAATGATGCCCCATTTGTAACATTTTCAATTCACAGAGTCCACATGTGGCCACATCCTAGGATTGCCAGACACAGTGTACGTTTCAGAAAGCTAAACCTCATAAATCTCCAGAAATTCCTCACATCTATTATGTTTACCTTCTGCTGCTGATGAGCCTGTTGGGCTCTGTACAGAGGAAATTACAAGCGCTCCAGAAGATTTGGCAAGAAGATGCTAGAAGAAACAATGAGCAAAAAAAAAAAAAAATCTTAACTGAAACATCACATCCAGCTTTGGCTACCATTTACATGTTTGAGATTACAGCTAGTAAAATGGGAATTCCATTGAAATGGAATAAATTGTTTTCAAAAATCCCTATCTGATTAGTGTTAGTTATGTCTGAAACTAAACATGTTAAGGTACACTCAGTGTAACTTATGTAACTCAGCTGAAGTCTAACATTCATACTGAAATTCAGTCTGTTTATACACTTTTCCAATTAAGAACAAAAGGCAGTTATATCCTAAAGCTCTTTTTGCCTATCATCTTCTTGCTCATTTCTATTAATCTATATTACAAAATGTCTTCCTTTGCTTAATAGATGTTTGGAGACTGTTGTAACAGCTGCTAACTAGTAAGGAAATGCCAGCAGAAATATTTTATGGTCACACATTTAAATACCACTGGAAATTTGTTTATAGTTAATTCCAACTAAAATGCTTATGTTCTAGGTATATTTTGCATAGTGATCAAAAATTAGTAGTTCAAAAATTTCCTCACTTAATCCATGAGAGGACCGAGGGCCAAAGAAAATCGAAGTAGTTAATCACGGAAAGAAAATTAAGTGGCAAGTTTTAAAATTTGTTTGCTAAATAAAATAATTGTTAACTGTGTTGCACATCCACACACACAAATCCTTGCACAACCACGAACAACTCTGAAATAGATCACCGGCATTTAGAAATGCCATGGAAAAGGATGGAAATCTATTACCGGCACAGATACTGCCTTGATATGCTCTCCTCGAAATCAGTACCCTCCTCCTTGACAACTGCAGGGTTGGAAGGGCTCAAGCCCCACTTGGGCTACTAAGTGCCCTGAAGAACGAGGTCACAGGTGGGGAATTTTTTTTGAAACTTGCGTGGAAACAGTCTTACACTAGAAATTGTTGCTCCAGTCTCTACCCAAAGGGGTGAAAGTCACAGTGAGTCTTTCTAACAAAGGAGAAGTGCAGAAATACTTTGGATTATGTATGAACTGTATGACTATACACCCTCCAAAAGCAAATCATAAGAGAGAACTATCAGGTTTTGGAAACTATACAAAAGTCTGCTCTTAGTCTAGTGTCTTAACCAGCTTCATAACCTTATAGTATTCCCATTTTTAAATCATCCAGGACAAGTCCGTCTGGCTAGTGGTACAGAAATACACAGTAAAACGGTAATA